AGCCCTTCAAAATCCTCAAGTCACTCTCACAGCAGACTAGCTCAGATACAAATCTGATCTTGTAAACTGGGTACAGTGTGGGGGGAAGATAAGGATGATGTAAGGAGAGGAGGGGCTATAGTCCTTTTTAAAGGCTGGCATTTTCCCCCCCTCAGGCTTTGATAAGTAACATTTTCATTTTCACTTAGTTTGAAATAGTCTTAAATTTCAATTTTGTTATTGTCTTTAAATCATGAACTCTTTTGAAGTGTATGTCTTCTTTTCCAAAAGAGAGTGATTTTTCTGGTGTTGTCATCATTATTATTGCTGTTTCTATCTTACTTGCCTTGCAGTTAGAGAATATATTGCAATTTTTGTAGTTTATTTAGACTTAAGACCAATATATACTTATTTTCCATTAATGCTTTCTCAATATTGGAAAAGACTATATATTCTGTACAGTGCTCTATATATGTCAATTCAAAGTTTTTATCCATGTTATTCATATTTTCTATTCATTTTTGCAAATGTGTGTTTATTCTTTTAGTTACTGGGAAAGATTGTTAAAATCTTTTACTGTATATAGACATTTGCCCTTTAGTTTGATTCATGTTTGCTTTATCTATATTGAGGCTATGTGATTATATGCAGTTACATTTAGAATTTCTACATTTTTCTGGTAAACTAAACTTTTATCATTCAGTTCAGTTCAGTTCAGTCGCTCAGTCGTGTCCGACTCTTTGCGACCCCATGAATCACAGCACACCAGGCCTCCCTGTCCATCACAAACTCCCGGAGTTTAATCAAACTCATGCCCATTGAATTGGTGATGCCATCCAGCCATCTCATCCTCTGTCGTCCCCTTCTCCTCCTACCCCCAATCCCTCCCAGCATCAGGGTCTTTTCCAATGAGTCAACTGTTCTCATGAGGTTGCCAAAGTACTGGAGTTTCAGCTTCAGCATCAGTCCTTCCAATGAACACCCAGGACTGATCTCCTTCAGGATGGACTGGTTGGATCTCCTTGCAGTCCAAGGGACTCTCAACAGTCTTCTCCAACACCACAGTTCAAAAGCATCAATTTTTCGGCACTCAGCTTTCTTCACAGTCCAACTCTCACATCCATACATGACCAGTGGAACAACCATAGCCTTGACCAGACGGACCTTTGTTGGCAAAGTAACGTCTCTGCCTTTTAATATGCTATCTAGGTTGGTCATAACTTTCCTTCCAAGGAGTAAGGGTCTTTTAATTTCATGGCTGCAGTCACCATCTGCAGTGATTTTGGAGCCCAGAAAAATAAAGTCTGACACAGTTTCCACTGTCTCCCCATCTATTTGCCATGAAGTGATAGGACCAGATGCCATGATCTTAGTTTTCTGAATGTTGCGCATTAAGCCAACTTTTTCACTCTCCTCTTTCACTTTCATCAAGAGGTTTTTTAGTTCTCTTCACTTTCTGCCATAAAGGTGGCATCATCTGCATATCTGAGGTTATTGATACTTCTCCCAGCAATCTTGATTCCAGCTTGTGCTTCTTCCAGCCCAGCGTTTCTCATGATGCACTCTGCATATAAGTTAAATAAGCAGGGTGACAATATACAGCCTTGACATACTCCTTTTCCTATTTGGAACCAGTTTGTTGTTCCATGGCCAGTTCTAACTGTTGCTTCCTGACCTGCATATAGGTTTCTCAAGAGGCAGGTCAGGTAGTCTGGTATTCCCATCTCTTTCAGAATTTTCCACAGTTTATTGTGATCCACACAGTCAAAGGCTTTGGCATAGTCAATAAAGCAGAAATAGATGTTTTTCTGGAACTCTCTTGCTTTTTCGACGATCCAGCAGATGTTGGCAATTTGATCTCTGTTCCTCTGACCTTTCTAAAACCAGCTTGAACATCTGGAAATTCTCGGTTCACATGTTGCTGAAGCCTGGCTTGGAGAATTTTGAGCATTACTTTACTAGTGTATGAGATGAGTGCAATGTTATTTTTTATCCTTTCTAATCTTTTTTTCCTTAAAGTCAACTTTGTCTTATATTAATATTGCAAAGCCAACTTTTTTTGGTTAGTGTTTACATAGTATATTTTCCATCTTTTTCTTTAATCTACCTGTGTCCTTATATTTAAATCACTTCTCTTGAAACAGCATATTTGGGTTTTGTTTTAAGAACTTTTGGTTTTCATAAGAGCATTTAATTCACTTACCTTTAATGCAATTATTGATAAGTTTAGGTTTAAGCTACCATTTTACTATTTGCCCTTTTTTTCACTCTGCATATTATTGTTTGTTTCTCTTTCCTTTCTTTTTTGCTTTCTAACTACAGTGATGGACTATTTTGTATTATTCCATTCTCCCCTGTATTAGATTTGAGTTTTATACTCTTTTACTATTCCTTTAGTCCTTTCCCTAGGGAATACTTTAACATGTACCCTTGACTTATCAAAGTCCAGAACAAATTGGTTTTATTTGTTTTACCTCTTCCCAGACTATAGCAGGACTTTAAAATACTTAAACTCCATTTATATTCCTGCCAGCATATGCACTTTATTCCCATATATTTTAATTCTAATTTTTTATAAATCACAAAAGACTTTACTATTATTGTTTTATAAAGTCAGTATTCATTAAGATTTACACACATATTTATCCTTTCACTGCTTTTCATTGTGCTGAATTTTGAATGAAAAACAAAAGGAAATTTAGTACAAATTTGGTGTCACACCCCTCACTCACTTCATCCTACCTATCCATTTTGAATTCAGAAAACTGTAAGGGCATTCAGGCATTCAGGCATATGGGGAAACATTATGCAGAAGCATCATAAGTACAGTGTAATGAAATGGGTAGGAAAGTACACACAAGAACGGAACATGTTCTGAAGGCAAGAGGCACAAAGATTTACTTTATTTTCAAAGTCTTAGGCAGTTAATGATTTGGAGAAGTATTGCCAAGTTACATTCAGCAAATTTAGTAGTATGCCTCAATTTAGTGGGCACAAAAGCTGTTTATTGTTAAATGAACAACAAGTATAATGTAATTGGCCTCATACAATTAGGAGGTCTTCAATCCATGCTTGTTATAATTGGCATTGCCATAGCCAGCGGCTTATGTGACCTCAAGTGATGACTGGGCTGAAGGAGTAAGCCAGGAATGTGTGTGCCTTGGGCTAGAGAGGCTGACTAATCTGGCCGTTAAGGCCTCAAGGATTGGGGCCAGGAGTCAAATCACAGTGCTCAGGGAAGGCATGGTGGACTCCTTTGAATGTACTCAGTCTCCAATCAGTTCATCACTCTCCAGTGGTGTGATCTGGAGCTGGAAATAGGAGGGAGGTGGGAGGGGCAAGATGAAGTAGTGAGGCACCAGAAAACACAATTGAAATATAAGTGCAAGTGTGGTGAAAATCTCTCAGTCACGTCCAACTCTTTGTGACCCCATGGACATTGCCCACCAAACTCCTCTGTCCATGGAATTCTCCAGGCAAGAATACTGGAGTGGGTTGCCATTCCCTTCTCAGTCAAGGCAAAGGCATCCCCTAATAAGATGGGATCACAACTCCTCTGAAGGCCATTCAGTGTGAAGTAGGTTCTTGACATGTATGGGATGGGCTTGAACTTTCACACAGAATCCTTTATTCCTGGTACTGAGCCACCCTAGAACAAAGACTGACGGTGCTACTTGTTTCAAAATACAGTTTTACCTCCACTGTATTAATGATTGATTATAGATTAATGATTGATTGTAATACCATTCAAATACCAGGGTCATCTTTTCTCAAATATTTTTTTTAATGGATTATTAAGTTTAAGAAGAAAAAAGAGTTTACCTGGATATGACATATTCACAGAGATTCCAGAGAACACTCCTGACAATTAACAACCATTTATCGGTAGAAAATATATTTCCCTTAAGATTCTAAAAGCAATAAGCTTCACTTTGAAAGTGTGCAAAAAGAGCTAAAGAATGAGGATTAAGGTCTTTGAGTCCTTGCTTGCTGCCTTGTTTTGGCCTGATTGGTCCATTTGGTTTGTTTGTAGCAGAGATGAGTCACAAGTTGATCATTTATGTTTACAGTTGATTTTCTCCCCCACATTCATGAATGTTAGATATGAATTCATGAGGTTAGGCATGAACCTCATGTCTAATCTCATCCAACATCTTGCAAATGAACACCTCTAGACAGAGGAAGCTAGGTGAGAGAAGGTCATCTGGAGGGCAAATCCGCTATCAGGGCTGACAAGGCAACTCCAAGTACACGTACCATGACTTTTCCACACGGTAATAGCACATTTCAAGGTTCTGTTAGAACACAGTGCAGTACCAAGGACTTCCAGTACAGTTGATTCACTACTCTTCTAAAACGAACAAATGAACTATCTGGGAAGCTGATATTTCTTGATTTTGGTGATATTTTTGTTTATCATTTAAAGCACACTAAACTATTAACAATCTGTCTTGCCAGAACAGATAAGAATCTAGAACTATAAATCTACTGCTGGCCATCAACAAAGACAGTCCTCTTTTGTTACTAAATGTCAGTATTTATTTTCCCTACTAGAACTGCTTAGCTTGGGTGAATTCTAGCTGATAATTTCAGAAGGGTGAAAAGCTAACTAGAACTGGGCATCTGTCCCAGATAAATCTGATTCCAGTACTATTAAAGAAGCAGCAAGGGAAATAGAAAGTCTTTGACAAAAATTGTTGATAATTGGCTAAGAACTGGGGAGGGAAACGGAAGACTTGGAGAGCTATGAATGTTACTCTGATGGAGCAGAAAAATGCAAAGGAGGAATCAATGCCCTAATGATTAACAACCCTCTCTTTTATTCTAAGAAAAATTATATATTTATATTATATATAAGAAATATATATTTTTATATATGTATATATATACAGTAGAACTTCTACTATCCAGAACTCTTAAGAAATAAGTTTTTCTAGATACCTAAATTACAGAAGCAAAAGAGAAATCTTTCTTGACTCTAAGACTTCTCTGTTCTGTGTTACCTTGAGCAGGTCACTTACCAACCTACGTTTCAGTGGCATCCTCCTGCCTCATCCAAAATTGTGAATAATGAGACCATTATTCCACAGAATCGTTATTAGGATGAAATCAGAGGCTTGTAGGTCTGTTTCCTAAACAAATAATAGATGTTTAAATACTATTAAATATTTACCTATTTTTACACCAGTTAATTTTAGAATTTTAACAAATTTGTATATGAAGTCATATAAAATATTACACATCTTATCTTTAATCAGATTTCAGGCAACATAATATAATGCCTTGATTACTCAGGCTATCACTATCAATAGCCATTAATGGATGAAACAGCAATAAAATAGCAATGCCTCAGCACTTGCTGAAATAGATGCTACCTTCCAGGACTGTATTGAAAAATAAGATTAATATCCAAAATAACTATAAGATCTTCACCCAATGAATCTCTTTTCTTCAAACAGTTTCATAGATTAAGTAGAAAGTGTACTTTGCTGGGAACTAATTTATTATCCTGTCACTATAGAAAAAAAAGAAAGAAAAAAGTAGAAAAGAAAGAAAGGGGGAGGGAGGGAGGGACGAAAGCAGCCAGGAGTAAAGTAACTCCTCCTTACAGCAAATATGAATCTTGACCTTTTTCTCCTACCTCACTCCATATATGAGGTTAAATTAGTATTGTCAGGGAAGACATAATAAGGTTTTAGATCCACAAAGATCAAGAAATAGCAGCAACTTGAATTTAACCATTACCTTTTCTTTGCTATCAAATAATATTTACAGTGGCCCACTCAGAACTAGTAAAGATCTGGTTATTTTACTCTAAGGATTTATGGTCTGGAATTAAAAAGATGTATTTTGAAAATTCTGAACTTTTAAAAATCTTTGCATATCTTTAAGGACAGACAGTCCATTTTACAGACAGAGAAATAGAAAAGGAATTGATGTCATGGCCCTAGATCACAGAGGCAGTGACAGAATAATAATTTCAGTCCCCTTATTCCTATTTCAGTGTATTCTCATCAAATACAACATCTGGTGAATGGTGGTTTATTCCAAAGTAGTTCTAAATTATTCCCTTAATGTAAAGCAGCACAAGAAAAGTATAAGTGGTAATATAGAACATTTAAGGTACACAAAGTCTTTGCCCATGAAAACACACTGAAGTAACTCCATGTCGTGGTAAGTTATCAAATTATGGAAAGAACATTGCAAAGATTAAAATGTTGCATAAGAGAGAGAAAGCAGCATGAGTCAGGGGTTTGGGAAATATGAGTCATACTGAAGGGCAGGAGCCAAAAACATAGAGAATGAGGGCCTAAGCAGGGACTTAATGGACACCACAGAGACGTGGACACAGTTGCCTCTACTAACTCTGACAGAAAACCAAATATGCAGTTCCATAGACTGGGGATCAGTGCGATAAAGAGGCTAGGAGTGAGAGCTGAGTGAAGATCAGCTGGATTATTTAATGCAGTGATGATGCCAAAGTCAGCAAGAGAGAGACCTACAATGGTATAAATCACTAGAAGGGAGAGTGTGGGCACATTTTTGAAAAATGAGGGAATCACCAAATATTGCCATTAGCTATTCTTAATACATTAGAATGATGAAATGTGAGTTGATTTATGTGTCGTGATATTTTAGGAAGCACATTCTATTATTTTGTACTTTGGTAATGTTTACATTAGGCTGTGTCTACATAGTTCAGAGCTGCTTCCTGTGGTGTTCAGTCTAAACTCTGATCACACCTTTGCTCTGTGCTCTGTGCCGTGCTCAGTCGTGTCCAACTCTTTGCAGCCCCATGGAATGTAGGCCACCAGGCTCCTCTGTCCATGGGATTTTCCAGGCAAGAATACTGGAGTGGGTTGCCATTTCCTCCTCCAGGATATCTTCCCAAGCCAAGGATTGAACCCATGTCTCTTGCATCTCCTGCATTGGCAGGTGGATTCTTTACCACTGTACCACCTGGGGAGCCCAATCACACCTTTAAGGCCTTGAATTTTGCTCATGAGTTGAGTTACCATTTTATGAGCGCCTTTAATCAGGCACTGCACCAAACTCCTCATACACAGTACCTCCAGCCATGCTGACTCCAGCTGTTTGCCATTCTTCTCATGCAAACCACTTCTATCATATCAGCATTTTCTAATGTGATCTCCCTTCTGCTTAGAAATAGCCTCCTATTTCTTTTTCTTTTTAAATTTTTTTTTCACATGTGTTGTTTCATTTATTTTTGGCTGTGCTGGGTCTTCACTGCAGCACAGGCTTCTCTCTAGTTGCAGTGTGTGGGCTTCTCATTGCAGTGGCTTCATTTGTTGTGGAGCACAGGCTTCAGGGTGTGTGAGCTTCAGTAGTCTGCAGCTTCTGGGCTCTAGAGCACAGGCTCAGTAGTTGTGGCACATGGGCTTATTTGCTCCATGGCATGTGAGATCTTCCCCTGACCAGGGATCGAAACCATATATCTCCTGAATTGGCAGGCAGATTCTTTACCACTGAGCCACCAAGAAAACTCCTAGCCTCCTATTTCTGCCAGTCCACATACCTTACCTTTTTCAAAATGCAGCTCAAAATTCACCTCCTTGGGCCAGCCTTCCACCTCTGATGCTGCCTTTTTCTTTTCTAGCTTCTGTATTTCTCTACTCCATTGCTTTATAGCCATTTCCAGTTGCTGACATTTTGGTGTGTTTCTTACATTTTGCCTGTTACTCTGTCTTGTAAATGTTTAGTTCTGTGAGATTAAACACTGACCCTACTTTCTTTAAACTATAGGCATCCATTCTTAGCAAACAACCTTGGTTCATCCTTCCATTTATTGTACAATTATGCTTTGAAAACCCATCATGTTTCATGGACTCTGTAAGGTTCTAGGAATACATAAAAAAAAGTAATACATAGACCTTGTCCTCAAAGAACTTGCTTTCAAGGCCCAAGAAACATGATAACTGTCTACCTAAAGAACCTAGTGAGCTGAACTGTCAAAAATAACTTACAAATCATTTAAAAACAACACAAAAACTCCTCTCCCCGGAGTACTGTTTCCTAGATTATCAGGGAAACTGTGGCTGACCTGAGTATTTTCCCTTATGAATAAAGAATTGCTTTTGTGAGTAAGGTATTCCCACCACAGAGGACCTTTATAAACATACCTGGGAAAGCCAGGTCTGCTGGTGCATCTGCACAAAGATGGATAGTCTGCTTTGAGTTTCTAGCATAGTAGTATATTTTAGATGCATACAAGTAGAAAAGATAAGCATAAAAGAGTTTAACAATGTAAAATGATTTTTGCATGATTTTGTGTACATGTGTGAATAAACAATAACAAGATCTCAAAGAACAACTTTCAAATTAATAAAACCATGTTATTTAAATAAACCAACAAATTTACAGTCTTATTGAAGATAGTTCAGAGAAATCTGGTTTATATACACATCCTTCAGCATTACATAACTTGCAAAGAGAAAAGGAGATAAATATTCTAAACCCAAGTCAGAAAAGCCATAAATGAAAATGTAGTCTGTTCATTTACTAGCAGATGCAGCTCAAAGTATAAGATGAAGCATCCATTCAACTCCTTTGGAACAATTTCTTAAAGGGGATTTCATGCAATTGTGTTTTATTGAATTTCAGGGAGTTTTCCCATCTGAAAGAATTAAAACTAAAAGAGAATCCAGCTAAGTAGAAAGTACATTAAAAATATCACCAGTCAATCCTAGGTGAGGGAAATCCTGTTTCAGTTTTGTTTGTTATTGACAGAGAAAAGAATATAGTGGCAGTAGAGATGGTGGCATTTTATTTGCTTTTTGGGTTCTTTTTTTTATTGAATTACTTTAATTCACCTAATACTTTTATTAAATTATCCTTCTTAGAAGGTAAACAAACCTGGCTCTTAAAAAGGAACTGGTCCAGGGAGCATGACTTTTATATATGAAACCTATTTAATGATATATTAATTCCACTGGAAATGTTAGCCTATTTATCAAAGAGAACTGAAGGGGACAAAAAAAAAAAAGAATAGGAAGGAAATCACATCAGGAATGCGATGGGGTGGAGGCAGTTTGCAAAAGGATGTCTCAGAAAGAAAAGCCACAGTCACTGGTGAGGCCTCCTTTAGAAAATGCAGCAGCCAGCCCAAGCCCTTGATCTTCTGCCAGCATGTACTGAGGAAACTTGCCACATCTGAATCTCACATTGCTGTATCTCTCAGGGCTGTTATCACTGCAAATGCTGGCAAATGTTCTTGACATAAAACAATAGGAATTCTGCTGTCATTTCTGTATTAGCGAGTCATAAAGCTCTGAAGAAACCCCAGTAGACATGTTTTCATCAAGTGCATATGAGAAAATAATAAAAGACACACCAAAAAAAGCAGATAATTTCAAAGAAAGATTGCTGTACCTTTGCATAGTACCTAGAAAGGACAGAATTGTAATCACTGATTTGAAAATAGTAATAAAAATTTTCAAAACAGACATAAAAATAATAACAAAAATTTTGCCAGAACTTTAAACCCGGATAATAAGAATTATGTAAGTAGATGCTTTTACAGGTTATTATCCAATAAACAGCCAGGCACCCCTAGGGGATTCTTTATCTCCCCTCCCTCTTTCTCTTGGAAAGAATCCCTCTTGTCTTTTCCACACCCAGCTAACCAAAGCCGGTATCTGAAGACAACTCTCTTATAACCTGAGCTTCCTACATTAATATACTGAGTAGTGTAAGTGCAGCAATTATGCTTGAAAATAAAGGAAGATGAAAGGCAATACACCTGGGGCAACTCTCTGAGCCTCTTAAAGGGAAGGCAGGATTTAGGAATAAATTCTAATTATTGATGGTTCATTTTCAGTACTGATTTTTGGCCCACTATTTCCTCCAAAGCAACTCCATGGGTCTACCACAGTGATGATTCAGACACCCCAAAACCTCTCTGTTTTTATGCAAAATCTGTCATCCAGGAATTACAAATTTTAGATATTTTTAAATGAAGCTAAGAGTCTTCAGTTGTTGAAGAATGCCAAAATTTCATAATCTTTTCATCTGTGCTATTTAACCTCATAAATATGAGTGATTCAAATGAACGCAAAGGTGATGTGGTGAAGGCAGAACTAAATTTCACTTATAAATTATTCCAATACGAGTG